TATATTACCTACACTGACCCCTATAGAAATGACTCACTATGGACCCTCATGCTTGCCAGTCATTGACCATTGTGGTTTCGGTTACTGTTGCATTCTGGCATTTACTATTCATCCCCCACTGCCATACCTTGTTAACACTGTTGAGAATCCTGTCTTGCAGACGGAATGGCTGTGGACAGGAAGTGGACAAGCTTGATGTGAGTCCCAGTCTGGGTTACTAGAAGGCTCGGGAAAAGCCACTTTGAGGGCTGTAAGATGTTTTGTTGTCATGGACCTCCTCAAGGCCAGGACTGCTCCTGCACTGGGTGTCTCCGTGGAAAGCCTATCAGAGCACTCTGTTACTCACTGAGCCTAATAAAGTCCTACTTCAGGCTTCTCACTGTATGAGACAGGCAGCTCAGGCTGGAACTCTCTGTCATTCATGGGCAGAAATTATGGGGGGGGTTGTTGTAAACCCCCAATAATCAAAACTGGCCAATACAATCACCCTCCAATAACCATATCATCATGACGAAGGGGTAGAAATCTCAATACCTACCCCCCACACCCCAATGTTCCACCCAAAATTGCAGCCTTACTCACATGCCCTGTTCCTTCTCATATGTGGGTAGGAAATTGAACATGTGTGTTTATTGTTCACTAAACTAATTTCTGAGCTCAAAACTTGTATGTGTTCTTTTTAAGAATTTAAAACATTTGCCCACCCCCTCCCCCTCCATAATCCCCATCTACGGGAGAGACTGAGCCTGATAGGTGTTTGCTAGGGATTTCAGTGAAGTAGCCCACTAAGAGTTGCCCTTCTTTGGTGCAGTTACACACTAAGACATGCCCTGCATCAGTGAAGTTGCCCACTAGGACATGTCCTTCTTCAGTGAAGTTACCCACTAAGACATGGCCTTCCTCAGTGAAAATACCCACTAAGACATGGCCTTCCTCAGTGAAAATACCCACTAAGACATGGCCTTCCTCAGTGAAAATACCCCCTAAGACATGGCCTTCCTCAGTGAAAATACCC